CCCTCGGGTTCTGGGGATGATTCTGGGGTGCAAGATGTGCCCAGCACGGTTTTGGGGGTGCTCCCGGGGTGCACGGCGTCGCCCTCGGTTTTTGGGGAACCCCTAAGGTGCAGAGTGTCCCCCCTCGGGTTCTGGGGACAATTCTGGGGTGCAGGATGTGCCCAGCATGGTTTTGGGGGTGCTCCCGGGGTGCATGGTGTCCCCCACGGGTTTTGGGGACGATTCTGGGGTGCATGATGTCCTCAGCATGGTTTTGGGGAGGCTTCCAGGCTGCAGGGCGTCCCCCTCGGGTTTTGGGGAACCCCCTAGGGTGCAGAGTGTCCCCCTCGGGTTCTGGGGGACATGCCCAGGCTCCAGGGTGTCCTCATCGGGTTTTGGGGACGCTCATGGGGTGTGGGGTGTTCTCAGTGCAGTTTTGGGTATACTTCTGGGGTGTAGGGTGTCCCTGTCGGGTTCCGGGGACGCCTCTGGGGTGGAGAGTGACCCTGCTGGTTTTGGGGGATGCTCCTGGGGTGTGGGGTGTCCCCAGCATGGTTTTGGGGACAATTCTGAAGTGTGGAGTGTCCCCAGCACGGTTTTGGGGACAATTCTGAGGTGTGGAGTGTCCCCAGCACGGTTTTGGGGACAATTCTGAGGTGTGGGGTGTCCCCAGCACGGTTTTGGGGACAATTCTGAGGTGTGGAGCGTCCCCAGCACAGTTTTGGGGACAATTCTGAGGTGTGGGGTGTCCCCAGCACGGTTTTGGGGACACTCCTGGAGTGCGGGGTGTCCCCAGCGCATTTTTGGGGACGCTCTTGGGGTTCACCTGGGACCCCCCATCCCTGAGCATCCCATCTCCTTCCCCCGGCTTGTGGCCGCTGTCCCTACCCTGTCACCGGGGCAGCGACCCCCTCTCAGACTCCTGCTTTTCCCTGTGCCTTTTGACATAAACTGCCTTTAATTACCTCAATTCAGGACCTGGGGGGCTCGGGGCCCCCCCGAAAACCAAATATTGATGCTCCCAGGGGGCCGGTAGGGTGAATGCAGCGAGTGGCTGGGAGCCTGGCGGGGCGGATGGAGCCGTTGGAGGGTGAGGACGAGGGATTGAGCTGGGATTTAAATAGAACTTTTTTTTTTTAGTTTTTCCCCCTTTTTTTTTTTTTTTTTTTTTCAAGTTAAAATCAAATTTAATCAATTAAAAGGACTACTTGGAAAAGAAAAAAATTCTTATAAGAGATCAGAAAACATACAGACTTCAACCC